TCCTCCATCTGGAGCTCATCAGAGTGAACAATGCCAAGCCACGGCTCTCATGAGATCCAGCGGAGAACATGTGTGCAATTATTCGCCCATAACAGACCCAAATGTCTTCGCTCTGCTCTGTTTGCATTGGCAGCGGTGCAGTAGAGACATCTGTACTGATGTTTCAGGACACTAATAATGCAAGAACGTTTTCTAAGAGGAGAAGCAAATCTGTCATCGTTTTCATTTGTTTAGACCATCATTACTAGTGGTGTAGCATACTAATTTTAGATGCTAAAATCATTGTAGTCGATGCCGGCAATAAAGAAGTAATTGCAAATGTTTGCCGCATACCAACATGCTTAAAAACCACTTTCGTTTACTTTCTTAAGCAAATTTTAAAATACATATACTATGTTTTTGTAAGTAGGTGTGGCTCATATTATATGAGCATAAAACATCCCATAATGCATTTCTTAAACGTGTTGCAATGCACTCTGGGAGTGGCTCCGACGGAAATCTGACACAGTGCCTGTAATTCAGAGCCATATGTTTAAGTGTCAGTTTAAGATTTCCCAAAAGCCCTTTTCAAACCCCATCAAATACTGTCCACGGCACGCCTCTCATTAAAGACACTGAGGAGCATGAACATGCTGTTTTAGACGAGTGAGTTTAACTTTACTGAGCTACACTCACAAGGACTAGTAATTCAGAGACTGTACACTTAGTAAAGTAAGATTTTAATACTATTATTCATCAAGGACGCATTAAATTGATCAAAAGTATCAGTAAAGCTGTTTATAATGTTACAAAAGATTCTATTTCAAATAAATGCTGTACTTTTGAACTTTATATTCATCTGTGAATCCTGAAAAATAAAATGCATCACAGTTTCCACAAAAATATTGGGCAGCACAACTGTTTTCAACATTGATAATAATCAGAAATGTTTCTTGAGCAGCAAATCAGCATATTATTATGATTTCTGAAGATCATGTGACACTGAAGACTGGAGTAATGATGCTGAAAATACAGTTGCGCATCACAGAAATAAATGACATTTTAACAGATATTCACATAGGAAACATATATTTCAAATGGTAATAATATTTCACAATATTACTGTTTTTACTGTATTTTTGATCAAGTAAATGCAGTCTTGGTGAGTCTTCTTTTGAAGACATTAAAAAATCGTACCAACCACCTTTTGAACGCTAGTGTATTACCAAGTTTTTAAAATAAATCTTATTTGTGTCTGTTTTAATTTTTCCTTAGGAATTTTTAACAGAAACATCTGAGACAACGTTGATACTTTAGTAAAACATTACATTAAACTCTATTACTCTGCTTGAACAGTGAAGGAGAAATATTATTATTCCTCCAAGTAAAGAATTTTAGACTTGCTTTATAAATTAACAGTTATTGTGAGATCCCTTTTGTCTGGCTGTATTCTTCAATAACACTTTTTAAACCTTTAATATGTCCAAAAACCAACATTTCCGCAGCCAACCTTTGCTCTACATGCAATAAATTAAATCTACACACCTCACTGATGGCAGTGACCCAACCTTACAATAATGCCAAAGTGTGAGTGCATGCATTATAAATGGAGTTATATATTTTTATATGCTCTTAAACATTGCTGTTTTTATAATTGCACTGCAGGTACTACAGGGGTTAAACCCTGACATTAAAATATTTTTTTTTTTTAATGAATTAAGATATTTTGTTAAGGCATGAGTTGTATGGACTGTTATGATATTTTTATGGTGTTGGATGTCTGACAGTATCTGTAGTACAGTAACGTCTCTGTCAAACACCCACTAATGTCATTCCTGCCCGTCCCACAGCATGACAGATTTACATTCTCTGTGTTCTGGATTATATTCACATTTCTGTGGGTTTCCCTACACAGATGATGTTTTACATTATCAGAGTGGTTTAACTGAATAAAAGAGAGCAAACACTGTGACAATCTGTTAAAGAAATAGTTCAACCAAAAATTAAAATTTGCTGAAAATGTACCCAAGATATAGATGAGTTTGCAGTGAATGGGTGCCTTCAGAATGAGAGTCCAAACAGCTGATAAAAACATCACAATAATCCACAAGTAATCCACAGCACTCCAGTCCATCAGTTAACATCTGGAGAAGACAAAAGCTGAAACAAATCCAGCATCAAGACGCTTTTAACTAAAATACGAGTCTGTAATCCATAATAATGCTTCCTCCAGTGAAAAAGTGCATCTCCTGTTGTCTCTCACATCAAAATCCAGCCACATATGTGTTTAGAGCTGTTTAAACGCTGCTTGATCTGTGCAGATTTCTCTCCTGATTCAACAAATAGAATATAATGAAATAAAATGTCTCACATGAGTCCCGTAAAGCCTTTGAGGCAACCGCAGAGGAAGGTGTTTCCCACAGCCTTACAATCACCCCCATTCTGACAAGGTGAGGGCACACAGGACGTCACCTCCATCTCACAGCGGGACCCCGTGAACTGTGGCAGGCAGCTGCATGAGAAGTCTGGGGACAAATTCAAAGAGAAACAAGACTTCTAAGACAGAGCTAATACAGAGCTAAGGACTAAAATCTGAACATCTGACCGTTATTGATGCATTGATGGTTATATGCGCTTTCTATTTCTCACCACCAGAGGGCAGCTTTGTACAAGAAGCTCCATTCTGGCACGGTCCTCCGAGGCACGGATCAGGGTATAAAACACATCCCAGCTTCAGGTCACTCAGCCCAGCTATCTCTGCATACCGGCTCCTCTTATTCTGAAGAGGGAGTTCATTCCCGTTGAGCATGATGGACCCGAGGCACCCCTGGAAGCCTTCTTGCGCCCGTGGGGGCCTCTGGCTGCCTCTGCCCACTGGTCCGTGCAACACCTGAGCCCCAAAGAACAGCGATCCGTCTGCGGCCAGGGGCCAGATGCGGACAGGGGCCCGCGCAGAACGCCGGCGCTCCACATAGCTGTCGTCCAGCGAAAGGAGAGTGTAGTTACTAGTGAGCTCCAGGGTCACGGCGTGCCAGGACCCATCATTGATTGGACGCCCTGAGATGCCCAGGATGTCCAGTCTGTTGTCACAGTCCATCTGGAACCACAGACGCCCTTCCTCTATCTGAACAAACACAAATATACAACCACTCACTAGAGCAAACACAATTGCACAGACAGCTCTTTATATTATATAATATATATATATAATATTTTTAAACTATTATTTTTTTTACATAATATTGTGTACTATTGTAATATTGTGTACCATAATGTCATTATTGTATTTGGTTTACTTGAACAAGAAAACCAGTAAAAACAATGATTTTTATTGATGAAATTAACATAAATTGTAAGTACCTACAATGACATGTACTTAATAATGCCCCCCAAAATTAAATATGACATACATATATAGATACACTACCATTCAATAGTTCAGGGAAGTCGTGGCCGAATGGTTAGAGAGTCGGACTCGTAACCCAAAGGTTGCGAGTTCGAGTCTC